ATTTCAGGGGAAGGATCACAACCCAAGGAGCCGAGAAGACAGAAGACAAAGTAAGTTACACAGAATGTACTACAACTCAGAAAGTTACACAGGTGGCTAGCATTGCCAATCCTATTTTTCCATATTCAATCACAACGAGCAAGTAGAACCACACATGCTCCAGAACCACACATCAAAACGGGAAGAAGAAAACTAAGATCAAATCACAAGGTTTACATTCCATGGTCACTTGATAAATCATAGTTAAAGTTGTAGAACCAATGATTAAGGTCGTCTAGAATCCCTTTGCATATAATTTTGTAGCCAGTAGATGCCCCCAAGTAAAAACGGCGACATACATCAACAGAAACTACAACGAAATTAAACTCTCTTAAGTATGGCAACATTACAGTAAATTGGTCTAGTACTTGTTTGCATTAGATCTATTATATCAAATGGGATGCATGCATTCAAGAGCTAGCATAATAGGTTTGGGTTTTAATTTCTAACACCGATGAAAACCATTTCTTACTCATAAAACAAAACACCAGTTTAAACATATTTTCAAATCAACTCTCCTCAAATAGCTCAGATATGTTACTAACAAGGTCACAGTCAAATGATTGTTTAGGACTCACCCGAATCATAGAATCAAACATACAAAATCATGGTTATGCAAATTCCAAAGAAAACTGATATAACGAACTTTGAAACTAATCTAGACCCACGTATGTGATTTAGCAATAGCATTTTAGTTGCGCGCATACAGATACGAAAACTCAAACGCGTTCACTAACTCCAAATCCTCTCATAGGCAACCGAATGTTTGGAAATGGAAACTCGCCTCCGTCCATTTGTCATCTTCCATAAAATTTCCAAAATCGATTATTAGCAAGCATCAACAAGGTAGAAACTCAATTTATGAAAAAACACACCTTCACCGTGTTAGAATCATCGACGGGCGTTGCTTCGCCGATCCGGGTCTTGACATATGATCCCACCATCATCCTGCAATCTCGGTGTAGTCGATCTTCCCTAATTTTCCTCCGTTCACCGCCGAGAAGAAGAGGCGAGGAGGAGCGCGGAGATGGCGAGGGTGAGGCTAAGGGCGGCGCCAGCATCCCTGATTCAGCGATCGCAGTGTATCTCACCTTCCCCAGCGCTGTTTCCTTGTGTGTTTCAAAGAGAAAGAAGCAGAGTGAAAACGCAGCCTGCCGCTAGGAAGGGATTGAGGCAGCTAGGATTGCGTTTGTCAAAGAAGCGAGAGAACGACAAGAAGAAGAAACCGCCAAGAGCTAGATTTGGGCAAAGGGAATGGGTCACGGCAGCAAATGGGGAGTGGGTTTTGGCGGCTTGTTTCTGGTCTGGTGGCGGAGGGTTTTTGGGATGGCAGTGGGTTGCGGCGGCAATCCTCTGATTGCAGAGTTTGATGGGTTTCGGCGGTGGATTTTATTTGGGATATAGGTTAATTGTGGACAGAAGTAAAATCGTCCAAATTTGCATTGAGTAAGCAATCACCAAAATTTTTGATGGAGAATTAATTAGTAGTGATACAAAGTTTGGGTGTTCGAAACAATGAGTTAAAAAATAAGGTACTATAATATGAAAAGCAATGGTAAAATTTGTTCGAGGACTATATCGTATGTATATAATTTTAATGGGTGTCACTAGTAATTATAATTGCAAAAAATAATTATTTTTTATTATCGTAAATAATGACCGTTAGATGAGATCAACGGTGAAGAAATCTGACATATACTATACGTCTGACGTACACCGGTCGTCACCATATATATATATATATGAAGACGATATGTATGTATATATTGTGTATGTTTGAATCTTCCATATTATGTTTATTGTGTTTGGAATATCATCGTATTTGTGGTCATACTTAGGTTAAATGTAAAAAGGAAATTCAAATTACAATTGCACATCGAGTGCAATACACGTCTAGCAACAAAGTACGAGAAGTCTTCTGTTCGAATCCCGATGAACCCATCTGTTTCTGTTAAGCACATGGTGTCCGGACATGTGTCTGTGCAAACTCCAAGCCTATATGAATGGCTTGAGTTTGAGGGGTGTGTGTTAGTTAACGATATATGATCCACGATTGAACCTCTCCCAACAACTCAAGTTATTGGGATCAACTGGTTCTTGACATGGTATCAGAGCCTTCTATGACCGAGAGGTCCTGTGTTCGGAATCCCAATGACCCCATTTGTGAAGCACATGTATTCTCGTATTCATGACATGTGCAAACGAAAGCCCTTATGAGCTGACTAGTTTTTTTTTTGAGGGAGCGTGTAAGGAAGTGGTTAAATACCATGCATAGCCTCACCCAATAACTCGAGTTATTGGGAGAAGGTTATGCTGTATCTTATACCACTCTCTAACAACGAGAAATACACAAAGTACGGAATTTTGGAGCTAGAGAGAATTGAAGGATTTTCCCAAGGCTCTCATAGCAAGACTCATGGTCGTGAGCCTAACTGTGAAAATTAGACAACAATTTCCCTTAATTTACGATGAAGAAATTATGTGCCAAGAGATTCACGGTCAGAGTCACGACCATGAGACAGGCCGTGATTCGTGAACACCCCTTGGTCGTGACCTAGGCTGTGAATGAAGGCAATCTCCCCTCCAAAGAGACGTCGTGCAACTTAAAGTATCGGGCAAAGAATTCATTCACAGGGAGCGTCACAAATGTGACCCTACCCGTGAGCAGCTCTCTATCTTGACTATTTAAGCATCATTAAGCCTAATTGATGAGGGAGTTCAGCCATACAAATCCTATTACGCCAGAGATGAGTTAGAGAGAAGAAGATGAAGTTTTCCACGAGTTCTACAGGAGTCACCTTGGAGCATCTTATCAAGTCCCCCATGATGGAAACCAGTTCTTCTTCTTCTCCTTTGTTCGTTTCTCCATTAGCCATGAACTAATCCTCTCTTGTTGTTTGGATTAGATGAACCCCTAGCTGTATGGTACTGATTGATTGATATTTCATGGATCTTGATGTTTATGATCTTTGATTTGTCTATGAATGATATTTCAAGTATGCGGTAGAAGCGCGCCTATTGTATGCTTGCTTGTTTTGTATGTATGCAGAGAAGATCCCCATAGATGCGATAGAACACTCATAGATAAAAAAAGGACCTTTAACTACTAGAAGATGGAGGGAGAGGGACTTCTGGATTAGGGTTAAACATAATAGAGGGATTCATAGAGCAATTCCTTTGGGAATTGAATCTAGGCCAAAGAGAATATTGGATCTAGGTTAAATCGAATAATAGGGTGTTAATACACGAGAAGATCGGGTTACTGCCCATTATGGAATCTCTATGATCAAAGAATATAACATCGATTCTATGCATGTTCAATTGAAGAGGTATGAATTAGTTAGGGGGATTCAAAGTGTGAACAAGGCCTACTCTACTTGAATTTGCCTTCATAATTGCAATTTGTGTTTGCTGAATCTCACTGCTTTGTAGTCGGTTTAGTTAATCAAGAGAAATGGAAAAAAGAACGGTTAAATAATAAGAAACATAACTCAGTACTAGTAGTTTATAGTCTCTATGCCATACAACCTTGCTTGCCACTTTATTGCCTCTACGAAAGGTACACTTGTCTTAAGTAGCCACTCTTAGAAGAAGGCGATCACATGTTCTTCCTAAAATTATGGGGAATTATTGGAATGGGATGTGTGCATAGAAAGTTTCACAAGTGTTTTGAGACGAGGGAGATGCCACAGTTTGGAATGACAACCATTTAGTTGTGGTACCCAGGGTAAAGTTCTCAAGACAAGCTAGCCAATTTTGTCCTATAAGTTACTGCAACTTCAAGTACAAGATCATATCAAAGCTTCTAGCTACTCGTTTTAAGAGATGTGCTCCCTTCATTAACTCGAAATCGCAAACGAACTTCACAAAATTTCGTCTTATTCAGGACCATATGTGAAACAACCCGATCCTTTTAAACAAACTGAAATACACGTGGCTTCGAAGCCAAATTTAAACACCCTAAAAAATTTCATTAAAACAAATACAATTGAATCCTTTCCAAAAGAAAAACCCTAAACACTTGGGCGACCTCAATCCATACTCAATAAAACAACATAAACTCCATACCTCCAGTTTATACTCATAATCATAAACATAAATAACTAAACAAACTCTAACTCTAACTCCTTGCTGAGCTCCCTGAGATCTTGTCCATGCCGGGATGGCTGCTCGCCTTGTCATGCCTCTCGAAAACCACGTACGATAACCCTTACAACATACATTCATATACAAAGCAAAACGCGTGCCTCCACCTTGAGTAGGCGATGGAATGCCTCACACACATAATCGCGCAAAGACATAAAAATTAACTAACATAGATGAAAGTAAAAGCATAAACTAAAAGACCTAAGGGGACCGGATCACCTCAGTAACCCTTCCATCAGTAACCATCAGTAACCCCTTCCCCTGGCCCCCACGTGTCATCCTTTTTCTTTTATTAAAATTCAACACGGAGGGGTAATAGGGTAAATTGTACCCCCTATTTAATGCTGACGCTGATGATCTGATGCTTACGCTGACGCTCTGACGCGGATCCCACTCTCCCACCCCACCTAGTTCTCTTCTCTTTTACTCTTTGTTTTATTATTAGAAAAAGTACATTATGTCCTCTCTCTCATCTACAACAAAAATGAATCTAATCATCCTAGCTATCTTTGTTCAAATTTCAACTCAAATTAAATGGTGATTTTTTCGTTAAATAATTTAGTGCGAAAGACAGTAATTACAAATATGAAATTTATTATCACTGTCTACTATCATGGTAAAACATGGTAAAATACGTTGAAAAAAATTACAAATCTAACTACCATACACTACCAGTATACCACATGGTATAACGTCGTAAAACATGCTACAGAAATTTACAAATCTATTTACTATATCATACCATATGGTATAACATGCTAAAATAAAATTACAAATCCAACTACCACCACATGGTAAAACATGTTACAAAAAATTATAAATCTAACTACCATACAATACCACCATAGTAGAACATGGTGAATCGAATGAACACAAATTAATTGTAATTACCATACAATACCACATGGTATGAGAAGGTAAAACCATACAAAAATAATATAAATCTAATTACAACCCTTTACGACCATAGAAAAACACGATATCCATAAAAATACATTTCGTTACCACACTTTACCATATGGTATAGACACTTTACCATATGGTATATTGGTATATACAAATTACCATATGGTATATACACATTACCATATGGTATAGTGTGGTAATCTCGGTATATATATATATATATATATATATATATATATATATATATATATATATATATATACAATTACGACTCTCTTCACTTTCTTCTCCAACTTCATTGTCTTCTAACTCTTTTTTTCTCAGAACTGGAGTCGATTACCACCCACTACCACCATGATAAAACTCGTGACCATAGAGATACATTTAGTTATCACACATTACCATATGGTATAGTGTGTTAATATCAATATATATCACCTAAAAGGAAGAAAAACAGAAGGAGGGAGAGACAAAAAAACTCGTCTTCTGTCTCCTCTCATTTCTCCTCCGCAATCAAGAACACCAAATGCAACAAAAAAAGAGGAGGAAGATCGGAATTGAAAATTCACAAACAAATACTAAAATATAAAACATGCAAACTTAACTCACATAGATCCGTCCCCTCTTGGTCAATATGGAACGTCATCTATTTTGAGGCCGAGAAAAGAAAGAACATAAGGAAGAAGCAGCTGCAAAGAAGGATTTGGAGCATCACCAGATTTTGAGACATGATGCTGCAATTTTTCTTTGTCAATTATTGAAGAAAAAAATAAAGAACAAAAGAAAGGAACATATCTAGATCTGGGAAAAGGAGTTTGGAAGAGAGAAGGAAGAGAGGAAGGGAAAAAGAAAAGAGGGAGGAAGAGAAAAGTCTGGTTTCTCTTTCCTCCGCAAAAGTAATAATATAAATGCTAGAAAAGTAGAAAAAGACAAGAAATAAAATTCAAAAACCGGACAAAAATGCCCCTCTCCACCCCGCGTCAATCCTAGCCACACAATGATTCTTCCCAAATCAACGACCCATAAGTGGTTACTCACAGGTCAGTAACCGCCGGTTACTGACCCCATCTCAAGCCAGACCTAAGACTGAGATATTACCCCCTTTACACTCGCCTTATTTCCCGAACTTGATCGATCAACACTCGCCTTATTTTCTGTCGATTGATCCACATCATCGTCCGAGATTCCACTCTCAACTCCTCATGCTTATCCTCCTTTTGCACTTTCTCCTCAATTCCGCCGTTGCTGACCTCCAAGTTCCAGCCTCCGTCGCCTTCTTCTTCCGCCCCATTCTCGAGTCCCTCATCGAGCCATTCCTACGACTCTTCTTCGTCCTCCTCGAGCAGCACCTTATCAACGAGCGGCCTCTCCCGGAGCCTCTTGCCATCCCTATTCCAGCCGCAGTGCGGGGACCAGCAACGGACCGCACTCACGCCTAGTCTCCATTGAGGGTAAGTTCGTGGCCCCTTCGTCACCACCTCATCATCCTTCACCCGACCGCCACTATTAGGATCAACTTCGACTCTCGTGTGCGCGTTTACGAGCTTGACATCAGATTCAGCTACGGCCGCCGACGTTGAGTTCCCGAGCTCCCTTCCACGACTTTGGGTCACCAGCCTTCCTGCTCTTTTCCGCGATCGCGTCATCCTCATCATTGTCTTGTCCGTACTCCCTTCAATCTTATTTTTCTTTCTCCCGTGCCCTACTTCCGAAACCTTCCTATCGTCTCCAAGAAATACCTTACAGCCTTCTTCCGATTGCTTCCTACCCCCAGTCGTCTAGCAAGCAGCTCTCGTGTATGGAAGGGAATCACTTCTCGTGCCATGGAGGGAAGAAGCACTGTCAACCGAAGGGGCGCGGGGAGGTTTGCTCTCTCGGGATTTTTTTGTGCCGCCGCGTGAAACCCTTCCCTCCTTCTTAATATTTCGATGGGTAAGTGACAGAAAGAATGAAGGAACTAAAGGGTTGGGGTTAATTAGTCCTAGGCGTGTTCTAGGAATATCATGATTAATTGGGTAGAGGGTGAGTTTAGTCCGACACTCAGTTAACATCTATAACGCTCTCATGCATTTTATGTCGAAACTCAACATCGTTTGAATTGAGAGTTCACATTTTTAGTTCTCATCGATATTACGGTGGAATTTGAAAAGTTTTATCAAGGGCATAAAGTTCATTTTGGCACAAGGAAAGGTTGGGGTGTAACATTTCTCCCCCGTTGGAAAAATTTCGTCCCCGAAATTTGGTCGGAACTCATCCTTCCTTTAAAACCCTTCTTGCACTTCCTTCCCTGAAAAATTTATTCTCGCTATACGAACTCCAATTGTATATTTTGCTCACCCCGTATAGTTCACTATATCTCATATATTTCCTTCTGATCATCACTGGTATCACCACCTAGCTTGTAACACTCGTGTAACCTTGAGTGACTCATTGCCCTTTTTATTTCACAACTTGGCCCAAATGTGTGATGAAACAAAATTTCGATTCAATCTGGTTCGTGGTCCAACTCATTTAGTAGTTGGTGGTTGACTTCTAGATTCAAATCGAGGTATCACATTTCCTCCCTCCTTATGAAAACTTTCAACTTTGAAATTTGTTCTTCGTGATGACTCAACATCTCACCTGAGGTAATCCTTCTACTATAAGGATTTATACTTCCTTTACTTGTACGAATTGGAGCTATAGATCCATGCCTCCAATTCGTGCGATTCATGGTCGACTAATAACTCACCCATTTCTCATAAACCACTTACTCAGCTAGATATTTTCTCAATGTGACTATGGCATTGTGACATCCTTCCTTCATAAACGCATTTGATGTTGTAACGACTTCTTAGCTCACATTGCTCTCAACGAGTTGTTTGGGGTCTCTACTTAGGATCCCTTAAGAAACATTAAAGAAATAAATTCTTAGCCAACCCTATTCAGGATATGACCCATTGTGATTTCATCTCATAATGCGCCCAAACCTTGAACTACGTTCTCCATATCCTGACTGATGACGCCTCTACTTGAATTTCCTGACATAGATTTCCGTAGTGAATGCTTGACTTGCTGGATGGCTTACTCATATTTCGATTCCTAGGTATTACTTCTTCCCCCCTTTATAGACTTCATTATTCTCCTCTTGGTAACTCCGCTTGATACACAACTTAATGCCGCTTTCCTTGGGAGTCCTCGTATGTTCTCTTCTGCCATTCTTAGACCACTTCAGTGCATCCAATATGTTCTCTAAATCCATACTTCCTTACTTTCTTACTTGCAACCCTTCCTCTTGGTGTTCCTCGTTCTCGATGTAGTCCTCCAGGTTCGTATATGTTCTCTTTCCCTTAAGAAGAGTTTATCCTCAAAATTTGGTAGATACTACCACTATGTTCAATTGATCTTGATCGACTTGTCCGTGCGGGCTTACGTCTTCCCTTGTTGGTTCATTGTCTCTTATACAAAGCAATCATGTTGCCCTCTATGACTTCGTAAGGACATCCTGATCCCCTGTTAGCTAGATCTTGGTCTTTCCCTCCTTGGTAACTCCGTTGTTAAAGAACATTATCCACAGTCACTTGTTGGTTCCTCCAGCTCTGGTCTCAATGGTGCACATTTGGACTCCTCAAGTTTTCGAGACCGTCTCCTAAACTTCACCTTTCCAATGACACCTCTTTGCATTACACTTCTCAAATTGTCCACCAATACCTAAATGGTTTGCAAGCTTTGTCGTATGTGCAGAGCTCCCTGGGTATCGTCTCTTATCTTCCCACAGTTTTTCTTTACTAGGGTGGGTGGGTGGGGGGGGGGGGGGGGTCGTCCTTCTGTGACTAGTTACGAAGTTTTGATACTCATCCCATTTGAATTAGCCCAACAAAACAATAGGTTCGCCCATGTAGAGTCCCCGACTTCTCTCGTCCAAACAAGTATCTCCGTCTGCACGGTTTAGCCCACGTTTTGTACCACACCATTTCCCAACTCACAGGTTCACGACAATTGTAGAGCCTCTTAAGGCCATTAGTGTCGCTAAATTCATTGCATTATCTCATTGTCAGTGACATAGCATCTCACACCGCACAAAGTTTAGACATGCTACCATGTGCTTAATACAACCTTCTAGTAAGTTTGACTAGAACTGTGTTGTCCTTTCCTTAAGGCACTCGACATGTGAGGATCAAGTTTTCCCTCTACCTTAATTTGTCTAACTTCACCTCAAATTCTCCTTCCTTCCTTGGAAAAATATTTCCCTCGGTATAGTCGTCCAGGCTTCTATTTGCTCTCCTCACTTATGTACTTTGACCCACAAGGTTCTCCCTTTGACTATTCTCGACAACCTTGATTCCACTAAAATTTGAGCGATGAGCTTTAAATTTCTCGGAGTTTTTTTATGCTGGCATTGAACCTAACGTCTGCTTGATGTCTCTCGTAATCCTGCTTCGTCCCTTCCTAAATATCTCGCTTTATGCATTCATTGTCCAGTCGACGACCACCACTTTTCTATAACGTCCTATGGTGTTCTCCTTGCTTCTTTACTTTTACCACCCCTCTGTTAATGCCTTGCACTATCTTTGATCAGCGACCCCGTTGAGTATCATCTCTTTGTAGTTTTGGGTAAAAGCTTGCAATAGAGGTTTGCCCTTTGTAGGCTTTAACATACCTCATTCACGTTTTTTGTTTCCATCGATGCTAGTACATGGCTTAGATCTCTAAGTCAGGGTTGACAGTGGCGTGACTAAATGAATATGATTCATTCTTAACTAGCCATTTCCTTTGAATGACCTTTATTTAGTCTTAGCTATTTACCTCCTCTGGATGACCTCCCACCATGTTATACCCACTCAAAGTGGAGCACATTGAGTAAAGTAACTTACCGCGCTCTTATGCGTAGGAATGCTTTCCTCGCCATATTTCTTTTGTTCATTTTCTTGAGTTCGATTTACTTACCTTCATTCCACTGCTTGTCTAGGGACTTACATGTCCTTCCGCCCTTCATACACTTTCCAAGGTCATTAACGTCTCTTCCCTTGTTATGGCCTTGAAATGGTTTCCTTAGACTTGACCACTAGACTCCCTGGAATCACATCAAACCCTCTTACCTTCCCACTCTCTCCTGATATGCCACTTAGGTCTCCCTATTATGTCATTTGTAATTCCTCCTCGAAGGTTCTACTTGCTTTCTCTAACATTTATTAGAACTTCCCTCGAGCGTTCTACTTCCATGTCTATCTGCTACTAGTTTGATGTCTTTTCTTAGGCAAGTTTTGAGATCCCCCCTCTTGACCTACCTTGGTCCGACGATTCTCCTTGCGAACCTTGAAATTTTGACCTCTCTTGACTATGTAAATTGTAGGGTCTCTCGAATCCCTCCTCATACCTCGGCTTAGTTGGCGCCACCTCTCGCCTTGTTTAATTAAACCTGGCTATCCTCACCAT